TATACTAAATATCTAGACTATAAAAAAACCTGCTACAGGTTAAAACAAACTAGACTAGATGTATAAAACAAAATAAAGAGAAAAAAGAAAAAAGAAAAAGAAAAAATGAGAAGATGAGATAGTATACTATACTGTTCCAGTATAGCTCAGATAAAAATTATATATAGCTACTCTCCTATGTTTTTTGCTATAACTTAAAAAAGGTACAGTTTGCGCCTAGAGGAGTTTATTTCAGAACGTGATTCTGATAGCTATCCATACAGAATTCTTCCAATACGTTCCTTAGCTAACATATGTTTGTTTATATATATCTGAATATAAGTAGGCTAATTCCTAATATAGTTTGTTGATCGGTAGATCTTTTGAAGGGAGTAGCTGATTTCCTCAGTTTGCTCAAAAAAACAACAAAGTCAGTAAGAGAGAAAGTCCAAAAGATATATTCAGTAAAACCTTGCCTGTAGAGTATATTGTAATGACTGTAAGACTATGTTACTTTAGAGGAATATAATAATAGGACAAGTATATGTTTGTTTTTTATAAACAAACAAAAATACTTGACAAAAGCTCTTGGTGGTACCACTTCTATTTAAAAGTTTCTAGACATATAATACAGGCTGCAACCTCAAGACAATATTTTTCAAAAGCTACAAGCTGAATATTTTAATTCTACTGTATTACTAGAAGAAGTTGTATATCCTTTTGTTATATTTTCTAATTTTTCTATAGATCGGTATTGCTCTACATAGGTTCAAGTGATCATTGAGAAGAGTTAATCGTATATCTGTTTTATATATCAAGTTTAAAAATATAGATTTATTTTGAATAAATATATTTTAATATGTTGCGAAGTAAAATTATTTGATATTAATTTATTATATAAAAAATTTGTAAACATGAAAAAATATTAAATTAGATCTTTTGTATAAAAAACTAGCTATTCATATATAAACTACATTAAAAACGTGAAGTAAAATAATCTAATCTGAGTTTAAAAACCAGTTTATAAATATGTATTGATAAAGTAAATTTTACAAAATTTATAAAAACCAGAATTGGACTTAACGTTAATTATAAATTAGTGTAGTATCAAATTTTGAATGCATATAATAGAATTAGTAATTTTTTTTTATACAAATATAAATAGCTTAAAACTGGTTCAAGTGCTAGTAAATTAAACTTAAATTAGTGTAGTCTTCTATATTAATATTAATGTTATGAGCTTAAATGTAGTTCAAATTTTCGATCTTTTTTTAAAGCAAGTATAATTTCATGTTACTATACAGAATTATAAAAGATATAGTGAATTATTTTAAACTAGATTTTTAGGGAGATTGCTATTTTTACTAAAATGAGCCAAAAAAGTTTATCTTATATGTGATTCTGTTAAAACTATTAAGTCTATTAACTGATACCTTATTCTCTTTTGAAGTAAGATTTCACATGACACTACTGAAATTAATAAGTTCATTGACTGATCCTTAAGTTTATTGACTGACTGATCTAGAAGTTCAATCAAATAAATTGTAAGTGAAAAAATTTTACACATTTTTGAAGTCAAAAAAGATGATTAATCATGCGTAAATAAAATAATTAATGATATGTCTGCTTGTTTAATTTTATATAAAAGAAAAGGGTTATCAATATCTCGATACTTAGTCTTTATCTTGAAATCTTATAGTAATACCTTCTAAAAAAGCTTCCAAAATGACACCTAAAATTACAAGTGACAAAATACTAGATATTACCTTTACAGATGAAGAATACAAAACCTATTGTTAATATTTTACACATGGATCTCTTAGACTATTAACTAATCTAAACGAATATTTTTCTAACTAATCAAATCAGTTTCACAATGAAGTATGAAGAATTAATGATGAATTTAATAAAACTGATAGTGGTTATGATAAAGATTATTTTTTCACAGCTGCTCAGAAATATATTAGTATAAAATTTTCAATCTATTTTCTTTGAGTAATTATTTATCAAGGTGAATGATTTCTTCTAATTATATTCTCAGTAATGATAGGGGATAACAAGAACAAAAAATCCAAGAATGGTATTTATCAAGAAAGTTGTTATGATAGCTCAACAGAAGTATTATTAACTATTCAGCCTAACCTAGAATTAGAAGATTGTGAATAATCTGATTTAGAGATATTAGATATACTAGTTATTTAAGATAATTCAAAGCAAAATTGTAATTATTTAACTTCAGTATATCTATTAAATAAGAATTAAACTCTAAATCAATAATAGCAACAAGCAGTTTATATTTATCAAAATAGGACTAATAATGATAATAGATTTAAAAACAACTAGCGTTTTATTGTGATTATTGTTATACTTATGATAATCTGTGTGTTTACTATAAAAGTAATAAATAATATTATTGAATTAATTAATAGCATTAATTCATATTTTTTTAAAACTTTTATTTAAATAGAATAATATTGACAATGTCAATATTATCTGGCAATATGTAAGTATATCTAAAAAAATTTAGTGATATTGATATTTAATTAATTTTGATAATCATTATGGTAGACTAATAAAAGATTATTCAGGATCATAGAAAATCTTAACCATATAAGAATCTTTCATGTTTTATTAATAATTAACATAATTATTCTAATTAATCATATTTTGAATAGGTACTAGCAAATATTTGGAATGCTAATAACCTTGAAGTAGAAAACACTGATTTGAGAATAAAAAATATAGCACTAAAAAATGAAAATATGAACTTAAAGAAAGAGAATGCAGATCTTAGATTACAAAATGTTGCTCTCAAAAAAGATAATGAAGAATTCAAATCAAAAATTGCAGGTCTGAAAAGAGATAATACAAATCTTAAAGTAAAAAATAAAGAAACTGATGGAAGAAATCATGTCCTAGAATTACAGAATACAATTTTAAAAACCGAAAATACAGATTTAAAAGTAAAAGATGAAGATCATACAAAAAATCAAAACAAAATATGCAGTTCTAGAATCAGAATACAAAAATCTTACATCATTATATAAAGATCTACATGCAAAGATCGCAAAATCTGAAATTAAACTTAGAGATATCAATAAGAAATACAGTGAACTCCTCATAGAATATTCAAATCTAGAAGTAATTTATGCTATACTTGTAGATAATTATAAAGCTTTACAAGCTAAGGACAGAAAGAATGAAGAAGAAATTAAAAATTTGAAAAAAGAATTGAAAGAAATACAATATGAAAAAGATAAAGTAGAAAAAGACTTGTTAGAAATAGTCGAAGAATAGAAAAAAGTAATTAAAGAAAAAAACAAGATAATAGAAAAATTAAATGAAGAAAAGATAAAATCTATTATGGAACAAAAAAAGAAAAGATGTAATTAAATAGTTAGTTTTTCTTTAAATCTTTTTTGATTTTATTCATGTTAACATATATTAATAATAATAGAAATATGAACTGTGAATTATAATATATATAAATAAACTGTAGTTTAATCTAAAACTACAGTTTTAGAATAAACTACAGTTTATTTATATTAACTAATAGTTTATGAATCCGATCTCTAAATAATAAAAAAATTAGTATTTTCTGTATAATATTCTCGATGTTTTGTGAAAGCTTAATTGTTATTTTATTATTACTGTACATTGTTTAATTTATAGTTGTCAATTTAGCAATTCTAGTGAATGTTAAATATTAATTTTATTTTATTTATAATATTTTTATTAATAATTCCACAGATCAGAAATTTCTTTTACTTAGAAAAATATAATTAGTATATTGCAGATCTTATTTTTAAATATGGTTTATAAATATATCAATATATATAAAACTATACTATAAAAGTTTGCGAACTAAAAAAAATAGTGAGCCAAAACCTGAGATATAAATAAGAATATACTATAAAGAAAAATATGTCTAGTTAAATCTTAACAGAATATTAATATATTCTTTGCACCTACACTTTAGCTTTAGAAAACTTTAATAAATTCTTTTAGAATAGAATGAGATATATGTCTTAATCATATAATCATAATCGGAATAGTTTGTTTATCTGATATGCCTTTCAGATTAACTAATAACAGTATATGAATTTGCTATATTATCTAATGGTATAATTTTTAATTACTAATATAAATTCCGAATGCAATAACCACTAAGGATCAGATAAACCTTTATTAAGTGGAATTATACAGCTTCTTCAGAAATCTGTCTCTATTGGTGTTCTTTGCAAAAGCAATTAGATAAAATGTTTATTTTAAATGCTCTTAGTTTATAAAGATTAGTTTTAAACAAGTTTAAATATTAACATATTGATATTGAATAAAACAAATACTCACAGACAAAATTAATGTGAATGAAATGATTTGAAAGGTATTAAGTAATTAATTGTAAATAAGTATTTAAAGATAAGTATTTATGAATAAGTATTTATGTTCATGATTTTAATTCTACTGATTAACGTTAATAAATCATCTTTATAC